AGGTTCACTCGTACTCTTGTAGGACCCGTACTAATTACTACTTACTACGGTTTATGAATAACTCGGTCCAACTCGGTTTATCTAGTTATTAAGACGGACGACACATACAGAGAGGCTTTTGTCAAATAACGGTTATTTGTATGATAATAACGATATGTATTTATGGTAGGTTCATTTTTATTTAAAAAAAAAAGATTAATCAAGCATAAAATCAAGTTTTGTCTGTTAACAATGTCTTTCTTTTTTACTGCGTATTATGTCAGCTGGAAAACGAAAACATTGTTCGTTCGCTCTGTGAAATTCTGTACTTTTTGATGCATATAAATGTATGTTGGGAATAGGCAAAGCCTACTCTAGATTCACCGTTTCATTCTTGAAGTATTTGGAAAAATTAAATTCCAAAATTAAATTAAATTGAAATTAAATTCGAGAAAAATATGACCACCAAAAATTAAAAGGAAAGTTCATATCTTTTTTTTTCCATAGAAAAATTATCTCTTATTTTAGACCTTTTTTCATTATGTCCGTTGGTTTGAGAAAACTGAAAGAGACTCCAAACATGTGAAACATAATTGATAGTAACAGTGTATCTCATTTACAGTTTCGAGACGATATCTGTTATGTTTTTGTCTAAACTATTAATTTCTTGTTCACTGCTATTGGTGTTGACGTTTATGCGCAAGCGCAGTGTTAATCATCAAGAAATAAATGAATATTAGAATTATTTTGCTTTTTTGATTTGAATAATGACACCATAATGCTGCTATAAAACCAAGAATCAGGGGCAAAGTTCTTATACCGAGGAAACGGAACTGTAGATGAAAGATGTATGTGATTTTTTTTTCAAATAACTGTGGTATATCGCGTGATTCCTCTAATCATCATAGATATAACATTACAAAACTTCTAGGAAATAACCTGATTACAGATATAACTGGGCAAGTACTTAGGTATTCCTGCTAGTGGTTATACATCGACGAGTACTATCTACCTTGTCTTAATAGTCCCACGAATAAATCCTGGCAACCTATCTTTTTCCTGACGTGTTTTTACCAAGGATGAATCTCCCTAAAGTAGTCTTACCAAGGAAATATCTTGGCAAGCAATCTCTTCCCTAAACAAGTCTTAATAAGAATAAATCTCAATAAAAAAATCTCTTCCCGAATTGTAAGTTGTTGTTGTTGTTTTTATATGCCCTTAGTTCGAACGGTATATTAAATGAGCTATATTCGTTATTTGGCTGATTTTAGTTCGGATATTTTTAGATACTTCACTTTGATCAAAAGTTATGAATACCCTTACCAAGGATAGATATGTACATCCATCTCTAACCCGAAGAGAACTTATCAGAAATACGTCTTCAGATTTTATTCCACCACGAAGTAGTATTATCAGAGATAAATCTTGACCCTAAAATACGTCATATTGAGACATCTATTTTGAAGTCGAAAATGGCATACAAAGATGCATCACCATAAATAAAGTTCCTTTATTTGGCAAATTTGTTGTTTTGATACACCAAGTTATTTTCATTTTTGCAAGGTTAGCTTGTTTGCTTATTTGTTGTTAACCACAAAGCTACACAATTGGCTATCTCTGCTGTGCCCACCACGGTATCGAAACCTAGTTTTCAGTGTTATAAGCTAAAAGACTTACCACTAGGAGGCACTTTTGTAGATATTTAGGAATTAAACCTTTTTTTTTCCAGTAAATGTATTAGATGAATAAAGTAAAATAAAATAAAACAATTCTAAGTTGCCATAAAGTAACCACGATGAAAGACCAAGTTAAACGCAAAACATTAATATGGACATAGTAGGCACAAACCCAGTTACACACTTAAAAAGGAAGCGCAAATAACACAAAGAGGTTCTCTTATCCTCTCCAAAAGAAGAAAGAAATATATATTTGCGTAAGGAAGTAAATACTAGCTAAAATATGGAATTGATGACTACAAGTGATAGCTTTATACATATATACGTATAATGTAAGAACAACAAGAGACCGGTTGGTCCATCTAGACCGTCCTATCCACTATACTAAACCCTAAAATAAAAATAAAACACTAAAATCCAGCTCTTATCATTCAAATATTTATCAAGCCTTTCCTTTAGACTCCCTTAAATTAAATACATGAACAGCCTCTGAAGGCATCCTGTTCCAAAGACCAACCACTCTGTTAGAAAATTTAGTTGTCTCAGCTGAAGATAATTCCTATCCTGCCAAAATTTATATTTGTTCCCTAGTCTTACCTCCTAGTCTTGTTCTCTCCATTAAGTACAAAAAGTATAATTCACACCCTTAAAAATCTTGAACATCCTAATCAGATCCTTTCTAACTCTAACGAAAGATGTCACGTTTATAAGTGTGTGTGTGTACATATATATATATCAGGTGCAACATTTCACGCACAGTATAGTTTTTCCTCTAAGACCCTATTTGATAGTTTTGGAGTATATTTTGCTACATTGTATAAAAAGTTTTGATTTAGTTACCATATTATCTCAACCTTTAACACACAAACAATATTTTAACTCGCGTGTTTATAACAGATGTTCAAGATGAGCTCCATGGTAATATGTGAGTCGACCAGAAAAATATCAACTGGCATTAAATCTACTGTAATAATTGAGCATTCCTCAGTTATTCTCGCTGTTAGTTCTCCGACGTCGTGTGATGGTATGCTGTAGAGTTTAGTGTTTAGAAATACCCAAAAGAAGTTGAGAACATCGACTAAGAAACACATCTATAAAACTATCTCGAACATCCCTACCACAGTGAGGAACAGTGTCCATTTCGAAATAAATTTCACGTTCATTTTGAAACATCTGTAAATACTTCGGTTCACGTCAACTGCCGACGAAAAAAAGAGCCAATAATATGGTTGTCCGTTATTCTAGTCCAAACATTGACTTTTGGGGATTATTGTGTTCCCGTCCTTATTACACGCCTCTCTCTCCTGACTGCAGTAGTGACAGTTATGTCGGTTCACGTATTCATGCAAAAGAAAACGAGTTTACTCGGAGAAACAAATACGTCCAGCAAGATAACACGGGCTTGCGAATTTAAACTACATAAAAATGGTTTTGGTTTTAATAACGAATTTTCCATAATCCAGCTACGCAGATTTCGAAAATAATATTCATTTCTATCACGTAAGGATTTTTGACAAATCGGGAAGAAAAATTAATATTTCGTTTACCACGATGAACATTTTTTTTATTATTATTATGTTTGCGTTCTAGAAAGATTGATAAGACTCTCACGTCGCAATTGGTCTAGAGAAATATATAGCCAGTGGTTGTCAACATTTTAAGCACAACATGATGTGACCCGATTTCAATGAAAATTATTCATTTATGTAATAGTACATATGACGTTTTGTGAAATAATTCGTACGTGATGGAGAAAAATGAATATCATTTTCGGATTCAGCGTACAGGAATTACTCTAGAACATGTAACAATTTCAAGATAATACAACCATCGCAACCCTGTGTTATCTGGATTACCATTCCCAAGTTCTTGGTAAATTAAGTACTTATACGGATAAAGCTTATTCATATCCAAAATCCTCGCCACATTCGTATACGACACGCTCAGTTCGTAAACCAGTTGGTGTTTGGATTGCTGATGATTTTGCAACACAACAGCAACTTCCTGGCTGAGCTTCCCTGAATGAGGTCAATCAGCCACATTACCGGTTGGAAGAAATTTTGCCATAATTCTGCCAATGGTGTTGTGACTTGGCTGTGGCTCTTCAGGATAATGTTCGTAAATAACTGTTGCTGTAATCCATTCTGAGTTGCCTTCTTCGGCATAAATCAATCCATTCTTGTAGCATAAAAGTCATTCTCACAATTTAATTAATGTAAAATGAACAGACACAACACACAATAAAACTTTATGGCACAAGTGTGTTTTTGATAGCAAAACCATATCGGGCCATCTGCTGTGTCCACCGAGGGGAACCGAACCCCTAATTTTAGCGTTGTAAATCCGAGGACTTACCACTGTCCCAACGGGAGACTATCTGGTATAAAGACAAACACAAGCTGAAAGATGGCCAGGTGGTTAGGGTGCTCGACTCGCAGTTTGCGGGTCGCCGGTTCGAATCTCCGTCACACCAAACATGCTCGCGCTTTCAGCCATGGTGGCGTTATAATGTGACGGTCAATCCCACTATTCGTTGGTAAAAGAGTAGCCCAAGAGTTGGCGTTGGGTGGTGATGACTAGCTGCCTTCCCTCTAGTCTTACACTGCTAAATTAGGGACGACTAGTGCAGATAGCCCTCGTGTAGCTTTGCGCGAAATTCAAAAACAAACAAACAACAAGCTGAAAGTAGGCAACGTGCACATCTTAAAAATAACGAGTATAAACTAATAGCTGTCAAGGAATATAAATTTCCATCAATAGAACTTTCTCGAACTTTGGGAAAAGCCATAAAACAGCATGAAACGGAAAATGATCTTCACTTTTTATCAGGAAAATGTTTTACGAACATTTAAGGTACCTACGAATGTATGAAATAGGAACTTCGGGAACAAACGTCTGGTTCGTGAATTATGTTACACCTAATATATATATATATATATATATATATATGTATACATATTTATAAATCACAACAATCTGCGTGACTGTCTGTTTGTCCGCTCTCTAACTATTCCTAGGTCGCTGGGTCAATCTTAACCAAACTTTGTGGGATGATAGTTTGGAACAAGGGGCATGATAATGGTGGTTCACATTCCCTCTACCTCTCATTATTGCTGTTATTCAGCATTTAATATCTTTGGGTAAGTTAACGTTAACTACCTTCATAGATGGCGCCACGTCCTTATACCGAAACATAAAAAAATCATTAAGTTTTCTATAAAACAACATATACACCGTTTACATTGTTTTGTGACAGTAAAGGTTTAATTTCAATACTTATATTTAGGATGCAATCTGTTTAATGTAATTCTTCTCTCATAATATAACACATTAAAATTCTATAAAACGCCGAAACTTACCAAGTTTTAGATCTCTGAAGCTTGAGGGAACACTATACTTTCTTTTTCCAGCTGCTTTTCGACAGAACCTCACGCGATTTACTTTACTTTTTATTTTGTCTTGTCCAGCCTATAATAGATCGTTCTGTAGTACTCGATTCTTTGATCGATAAATATCTACGTTTTTTAGCGTTAGAAATTATCAGTTCTACACACAAAAATCACGAAATAACCCGCTCTCACTTTTATTTCTCGCTTTAGAAATTGTTTTTTAATTGATAAATTATTTGCAGGGAAATGTTTTCATTTATATGTTCAAACAAGAGTTTCAGTGTAACCTGTTGCTACGAAACATATATAATTCAAAAATGTTACATCCATATTTTAAAAATAATTATATGCACACACACATTTTCAGTCATATACAGAATAAGGTACACGCGTTCATGTGTTTAGAACTAGTATAATTATTTGTGGGATAAAACAATTACATCCATTTCAAACACCCGTACACATGCTTCTGTAATGTAAAACTGTATATGAACAAAAAAATACAGTAAAACAAGGGAAGCATTCTTGATTTTACTGAAATATCATCTTATCTTAACGACTCGATCTCTGTTTAACCTTAATTTAGAAACTTTCCTGTAATTGTCATTAACCGACTGGCTAGTTTCTGGCTTGAAAAAGAGCGTTTGCTCGAAACGTTGCCAAGTAAATAAATTACTGCCATAGTTTTGAAAGGTGATTTTTCTCAAAAAGTCTATTTCTTTATTTTATCAATTTCGCATTTTTTTATATACAGTCATGATCAGAACCAAGTGTCACAATTTACCTACATTCAACAATTTATATCTTCTGGAGGTTTAAGTTTCTATAAACACACTATTTTACCAATAATATAGATAAAACTATTCTCTCATTAGCCTAATTTTCAAGTGTTGCACCGATATTGAATAAGGAACACATGTGACTTATTTATTAATTATACACTGTAAAAATATGTATTTAAAATTCATTGAAAGACACGATAAAATGTCACATCGAACACAATTATTAAGTCCCTCCCCCGGCGGATTCAGCGGTAAGTTCACGGAATTATAAAGCTAAAAACTGGGATTCGATCCTCCCAGTGGACAGAGCACACACAGCCCATTGTGTGGCTTTACGCCATAAAATCAACAGAACACAGTTAATTAACTTAAATAAATTAAGTTATAAATAAATAAAATTATTTTTGATGTGAACTTTTATATTGAAATATTTTAATACTGAGATTCTGAAAATGACAATAAAATGTCATATAAAATTATTGCCTACGAGAAACACCATAGAACTTATAAATGTTCACCCCAGTATTGTTCACCCAATTATAGAAAGAATCATCCAGGACGTGTATATATATATATAAGCAAACTATTTAATATATCTTTCACTTCTAATATTAGTTCGTCAGCCATTTTAGCCAAATGCCCCACAAAGGTATTAGACTTATAATCGTCATAGTTTGGAGTAACATTTGAGCATTATCTTGAGAATATGTTACTTGTATAACATGTTTTTCAAATGTATGCGTCTTGTTTTCGTTCGGTACGTTCAGCATTGAGCCTCCTAGGGTCGCGGGTTCGAATCCCCGTAACACCAAACATGCTCGCCCTTTCAGCCGTGGGGGCGTTATAATGTGACGGTCAATCCCACTAGTCGTTGGTAAAAGAGTAGCCCCAAGAGTTGGCGGTTGGTGGTGATGACTAGCCACCTTCCCTCTAGTCTTACACTGCTAAATTAGAG